AGAGGTTAAAGAACTAACTAGAAAAGGGGACTGTGGTGTCATGGTTGTCCAGGTGGTTGTGGTGGGGTTCAGGGAAGACTTCATATAGGAAGAGGAACCCGGGTGAGTTTTGGAGGTTGAGTATAAATATAAGTAGGTCATTTAAACTGAGGTGGGGCAGAAAAGGGCTTTCCAAGTGGGAAAAAAAAAAGGCAAGCAGGTCAAAGATAGAGAAATAAGAAAGAACATGCATTAAGGGTTTTGCAACTAGTTCATTGTGGCTGTAGTTTGGAGACTACTCGGCTGAAAGATACATTTCAAAATAAAATAGGAGGGGCACCTGGGTGGCTCAGTCGTTAAGCGTCTGCCTTCGGCTCAGGTCATGATCCCAGGGTCCTGGGATCGAGCCCCGCATCGGGCTCCGTGCTCCGCGGGAAGCCTGCTTCTCCCTCTCCCACTCCCCCTGCTTGTGTTCCCTCTCTGGCTGTCTTTCTCTCTGTCAAATAAATAAAATCTTAAAAAAATAAATAAATAAAATAGGAAAAAAAAAAACCAGGTTGAAGAATCTGTGGAAACAAAAATGAAAGAGGGAGAGAAGAGGAAAAATCTCCAGGGGATCTCGTTTATTCCTGTGGCCTTTAAATGCTACCTACATGCACATGACTCTTAACTTTTGTCTCTGACCTGGATTACTCTCGAAGCTCCAAATCACCTACTTAGCACCTCACAATCAGTTTATCTCTGAAACTGAACTTTTCCACGTCCCTGCCCCAAATCTGTGATTCTGGGAGGGACAGACGTGTCTCCATCGCCCAGCTGCTTATGCCAGACACCTGGATTATCCTAGTCACGTTCCTCTCTTCGTCTCCGTTTCTAATGAATCCTGTCAAATCCACCACTTCGGTTCAGTCCTTCACAAGCCTTCATCAGACCATGACAATAGTATTACTAATGTTCCCTCATCTACTGTGATCTCCTCCAACCAACCCATTCTCCACTGTGCAACCAAAATGATCTCAAATTAGTGTTTCTCAAACAGTAGTTCACTGAGGTGCTTGGTTAAAAAAAAAAAAATGCAGAGTTTCCAATCCAGACAACTGAAGCACAATCTTTGGGCATTCCTCAGCGTCCAGGAATTCATACCTGAATAAGCCCCATCGCCATCCCTTTTTGACATTAAAATGTAAGAGTTACCAATATGTGAGGCAGAGTAGCCTAGAGATTAAGAGTGGATACTTTGAGTCAGAATGTCTACATTTGATTTCTAGCTATGTGTTCTCAGGTAGGTAACCTAACTTTTCTGTGCTGCTGTCTCTTCACCAGGACAATTAAGACAATAGTGAACTAGCTCATTGGTTGCTGTGATGATCAAATGAATTAAACCTAAGGAGTAGCTTTTATTGCTTCTCACCAATATTTCTGGTTCTCTTCTGCTTCCTAGCATATGGGAATATTGTACTTCTTCACCCCTGTGATGTTCAGTGGGCTTATGCGATTTACATAGATCAACAAAATGTGAGTGGAAGTAATGTGTGTCACTTCTGGAGGAAGCTGGGGGAGATGGTTCTCCATGGCCTCTCTTCTCTTCTCATGGCAATCATGGAGGTACATGCTGATATGGAAGTGTCGAAGAAATTGTTGTTACCGCAGCATAGTATAACCCAACCTCACTGGTTCAACTTTAAAGACTTTGGAGTAGGCCTGGCCTGGAGTAACTGCTTAATGACAGCTTCAGAAGAGAATTCCAGCAATGTGGCTCTTCCAGTTCCTAATGTCTCAAGAGCTTAACACAATATGCATCTATTTCTTGGTTACACAAGAGAGCAGGGAAACTGTCCTCCATGTCCTGGCTCATTGTTCCACACTGCTTCCTTCTGAGACAAGATAAGGCTGGAGACCACAGCAATGTAGGCAGGATTCCAGCTGGTGATTGAGATTTTAAGTTCCATGAGAAACAACTGATGGAGCAGAGGAGTGACATGATCAGGGGTATGTTTTAAGCTAGTGACGGACTCAAAATCTAAATCGCTAATTGGCACATTGCCTACATTGCTGTGGTCTCCAGCCTTATCCTGTTCACTCCCCTGCCACACTGGCCTTTTAGCTCCTTGAACATGAACAAGCACCTTCCTGACAAAGGGCCTTTGTATTTGACAAGATCTGGGCTTGGATTCTCCTTCCATGCCTCTTCTTATCTTCATGTCTCAACTGAAACATCAGCCCCTCAGAGAGGCCATCTCTGCCCACCCAGATGGAAGCAGATGCGCCTTTATATCCTCTTCATATTCCTTTCTCAGCACTCTTCCTGTGTCTTTCATACTATCCGACACAACTGGAGATGAATCTTGCTTGTTTATTCACTCCTTTCCCGTCTTCTCTAGCACTAGAGAGGAAGCTCCATGAGGATAAGCCCACATTTCTCTTACTCATGTTTTTATCCTAAGAATGAAACAGTTCCTAGTATACAGCAAGATTAGTTATGAGAGGATGGAGAGGGGCAGAGGAAGTAGGAAAAAAGAGGGAGGGTCGTCCTGCAATTAAATTGAGGTTTTCCTGAATATAAGATACTACCCTAAAATGACTATTCCCCAAAGACATTGAGAGTTTTTAACAGAAGTGATGAGAATTCTGAAAAGTAATGTTTTTCTTTATATGGGATGATGCTTTCTTACTTTCAGAAACAGGATAAACTATAAATTAAGATGTAAGTATAGTCCTGCCAAAATAGGTAAGTCAATAAAAATGCAACTCAAAATCAGCTTTCACAAGGCAATTTATTGTAACCACAAAAGTCCTGAATCTGAGTTTTCACTCAATAAAAATCTGAAATACTGGGTCCAAGTGATGACACTTCCAAACTAATGGAACCTTCCTGTAACTTAAATAAACAGATTTAGACCATCAAGTGAAATCAAAGCCAAGCATATCTGCACAACTCAAGAATGATATGAATGGATTAGAACCTCCGGTGGTTTATACGTCACCGTTTATTACAGACTTTGAGAGTCAGTGGCACGATATTAGACTATGCGTTTCCAAGAGCCAAGCACACAGAATATTCTCTCTACTCACCTGTTAAAAGACTAAGAAATCTGATACAAAGATATGAAGTGAATAATGACATACCCTAGTCATTTACAGAGGAGTTCTCTTAGGTGATTCTGGGTCAAGTCATTCTGATCAACCTTGTGCAAGCTTGCTTTCTCATCAGTCCTGCTTCCTACATGTGGAATGATTTGCCATAACTGAAAGGAAACAGCTGTTGGTTATCTGCTCACCGTCTTCTTTCATTTCCCACAAAGGCACCAAAAAACTCTTTGCCTTGATCCCCAAACGCACATAAGTAGACCTTACTGTTTGAATCCTTTGGCTGGAGAGGCCTTAAATCAGATCTGTTTGGTGAAGGAAACCAAAGAAAGTCGAAAGACCTTACTGATCTAGGAAGAATCCAACTTCTCATTATAAATGACCCCATCTCCACTTTTTAAAATTCGCTGTTACTAGGGAGATGATACAGGAAAAGAGCATACACTAAGTTTGTGACTCTCTTCCATTTTATTTTCAACAAGCAAATAATAGAACTGAAATCTTTTTCAAATATCTAGATTTGTCCTTTGTGAGCAAAAGATATACTATAGTTCAGGTGTTAGAGTCTGTTAGGTTCAATCTCATATCTTTTCTTCCTTTCTAGAGTTTTTCAGACCGTTCTTAATACCAGAAGAAAGATGGCTCTTTAGTCAACTGTTGGTAAACTATTGGTGAACATTTATTTAGCCCCAGTCTTACGTTTTCTTGGGGGTTTTAAATGAATGATAAAATTCTACCAGTGTTGGGGTGCCTGGGTGGCTTAGTCAGCTGAGCATCTGCTTTCAGCTCGGCTCATGATCCCGGAGTCCTAGGATCGAGCCCCACATCAGGCTCCCTGCTCAGCCGGGAGTCTGCTTCTCCTTCTCCCTCTGCCCCTCCCCCTGCTCCTTCTCTCTCTTTCTCTCAAATAAATAAAACAAAATCTTAAAGAAAAAAAAAATTCTACCAGTCTCTTAGGCCCATATCAACTGCTTCTTCTGTTAAGCTTCTTACTACACAGGATGAATGAGTAAATGAATGAAAATTTGAATGCCTGTCTAAAGGAAGCCAACTGTTGCTTTTCTGGTTAAAACTCAGCAAAGCAGAAGTTTAAGGTGACATTTAGAAATGCAGTAAAAAGAATCCACATACGTTGTTTTAAATTTTTATTTGCTTATAAAAGAGAATGGAAATGGGTTTGCAAAAAACTTATCTGCATGTACAAAGGAATCCATGTAGATAAAGAGGGCAAGCCTTGGAATACTGCTGGATAAGTCGTTCATCAAAATTGGATCTCTTTGCATCAGAACTGGTGGAAAGTCACTGTTTTACATGTCAAACCACTGAAAAAACTAAATCTATTTTTAAAATCACCAAATTCAGAAAGGTTATATTCTGATACATATTCTTAGACACCAGTGAAATGAGGTACCACGTGATCTCAGAGCTGGGCAGATCAGTTAATCAAGAGGTAGTTTCTCCAATAATATTCCTTTTTGTTTTCAGCAAGGCCAGAGGAGATAGGGATAAATGGCATAATCTTTGAATCTCTTTAAATTCTTATTCTGCCAGGGCCCCATTTCCTTTGAATACAATCATAGCTGTCTTGATGCATTTTAGGACTTGAGATCATCTAACACAGAAAAGATTCCAGAGTTCAATTTTTTTGTGTGTGCCAATTTTCCTTTGAGCACTCTTCTCTGGAAAAACAAATCATCTGGCATGCCATTTAAAATAACAAAGAAAAATAAATCCTGTGGTGTCATAGATTAAGGGGATTTTTTTAAATATAATTTTTTTGCTAATAATGCCAATATTAGCAATGTCCAAGGAGGAGATTTAGGCTGCTGAGACAAGCCCCCCAAAGGTAGCATACAAACCACATAATGACATTCTTCTTGAATAAGTTTCTCTAAGAGTTCTTGCGGTTGGTCTTCGAATTTGTCCTAAGGCGATCAGATGCCCGAGCCCCACAGTTCCATGGCTTCTAGCTCATCTTGGACAGGAGTGAATTCCGGTTGATCGGGATGGGGAGCTAGAGAGGAAGAGTGGGGTGGGGACTTGATAGGACCAGGAACCGTAAATTGATATTCTCCCCTCACACAGGTCCATAAGAGACACAGATTTGGTCAATACACGAGAGAGAAAGCCTGCTCGGGTGGAAAGGAGTAGCTTCCCTGACCCACCATGCCGCTTGCACCTTCCCCGCGAGGTTTCAGATGGTTAGCAAAGAAGGGACAGATCCGTTACAGAAATGGTTAGAAAACTAGAATCACGGCCAACTGCTTAAATAATATGTGTTTTATTTACAAAAGGAACCCTGAATCTCAGCAGAATTATAACAGAAAAATAAATGTTTAAAACTGATCTCATGTTAGAAACCCATCACAGGGGGACAGTCAGGAAGGGAAGCCATCAGAGGAGGATGGAGAGGAGGATGGTCAGGGAGAAAGGTGCCTGTCAATCTTGTGTGGGGACAGGAAAGAGGAGAAGGCACATTCAGACAGCTATTACTGAGCCTTCACACAGAAAAGTTGGGGATAAATTCTTGGTGCACAGTCATATACTGACATCCAGGCTGATACAGAGCAGTCAGTTTCTATTACAACGGACACTTGTGATTTGGTTAATTTTCAGTATTATCAGTGTATGTGTCGGGAGTGGGGAGGGCAAGAGACGTGACAGTGGGCAGGGAGGGAAGCAGGTGAGGCAGGGAAGCAGAGTGCCCATGGTTAGGGGCAGGGGCTGGGGGCGGGGGGTGGTCAACAGGACAGTTCTGGATCCGTAGCCAATTGCCCAGGCCAATGGAATCAGAGTGGAGGAGCTCCACCTCAGTGCTGGTAATCATTGTAAGGAATCAGATCTTAATAAGGGACAGGGAGATTTGAGAGAACAGGGAGGGAAGAGATGAACAGAGAAAAACACATCAGCAAAACTCTGACCAGTTCCTCTGGCAAATAAGGTTAAATTTCTCCTAAAGCAGAACACTTAAATTCTTTGACTAAGAAGTTTATTGCCCCAAAGCAGTCTCTGAACATCTCACTTGATGCTTCCAAGAGTGACTATGTCAGAAAATGTCCCATTGCACAACTCGCCAACATGCAGGCTGCAGATGTTTTTAGGAAGCATTATCTTTCACAATCTCAGGCCCAGAGTTAGTAATGAGGCAGGGACAGGCATGGTCACTATTGTTTCTTCTTAAGACTATCTTTGGTCACTGAAAATGGTGGGCATGTGGTGGGGAGAATGTCACCCAAAAGTATCTAGGGGGCCCTCCGCATTAGGGGGAAGTTGTAAGTTTTGAGGCTTTTCCAAAACAAGAGTAAAATATGACAGGCATCACGACCACACCACAGCAGTAACACAGAATTAGGGCCCCCACAGAAAGTTCAAACATGGCCCCCAATGACCAAATATGAGGTCGGAGGTCAAGTTAGTGTGGACTGCCATTTATAAACAAGGAAGATTGAGTTGTGTTGTTATTTTCATTTTCCTCTTAAGGTTTTTGAAGGGGTAGCCTTGATAGTAATTTGTACTTTATAGAAGAGGTCTCTGGATAATTTAAGGTAATGAGGCCTTCAAGTTCTGCCTCCCTCCCATAACTGGTCTACTGCTCACCACACCCTCATCAATATAGCTCTAATTGTAGCGAAACATTGCTGAAAGCCCACGAGAGGCACTTACCTCCTACCCCGTAGGCAGAACACGAAGAAGCGTCGCAGTATCCAGGCTGGCCAGAAGGACCCTGTGGTCCAGGCACCCCCAAGTGACCAGGTGGACCCCTGGGCCCAGGAGAGCCGGGGGGCCCGGGGCTTCCTGGCCGACTCTCCCCTGAAGGTCCTAAGAAGCACCCACAAAGGAAAACAGTTGGTCTTTGACCATCACAGAGTGGATGGTAAGAAGGAAACTCTTGGTAGTCTCTTAAGAGAAGCCACCTCACATGTCTTAACAATTAGGATAAGATACCTCTCTCTGCTCATTGAGTTTTTGTTCCTAAACTGGACTTGCTGGACAGAGGATCATATTGTAATCATACATTCTCCTGGAGAATACTTTCAATCAGTTCAGGAAACTGGAAAGCAAAATGTATTCTCTTCTGTCACCTCTTGGATATTAAAGGGAAAAATACATACCACTGTCAACATGGCTTTCTTTATGGAGCTCCTGTTTCCCAATGCAGTTCCTTACGAATGCAGCGTATGGGCAGACAAGCACATGCGGCACACACGCACACACACACACACACCCACTCAATCTCAGCCTCATAATCTGTACTGCCTATGACCCTGGGTAATTGAAATACATTAGCCTGAGTGTGAAAGAAACTATCCTACAGGAGAAAAAGGCAAAGTCTGAAATCAGCCCTAAAATACTAATCCAAAATGTCTTTAGGCTACCTTATATCAATGGAGAACTTAGATTGAAAATAGGAGGGAGATGAAAATTTTTGTGATTTTTGGAAGTCTATCAGGCTGGGTGTTTTTATGTTTGCTTTGAGGTCTAGATTCCAATAGTGTTTAAAAGGCATTCTTCAACTAAAAATGAGATTCTTCAACTCTAGTTGGAATGAACTCTTCAACTCTAGTTCTAAATGAAAATGAGGAACAAGTATCACCTTATATTTGAAAAGTGTTGCAGCTCTAATTAGGTTCAGTCCCATTCAGTCAACGCTCACCAACCATCCTTTCTGTATAACACGTGATGATAGATCAGCCTCTCATAGAAGCTCTAAGGATAGGAGCATTTGTACTCAAAGTGAATCTTTTCCATTAGGAATCCCTCCTAGGAAAAGTACTTCCCAAAATCACTATTAGGTTGGAAAGAAAAAATTTGTAAACTATTTGATTTGATGTGGCTACAACCAGATTATAAATGTCCAACAGGACTGCAAACTTACAAGTCTAATAATGAGGATCATAGTCTGGAGACCATTGTAAAAACACAAAGCAATACACACAAAACTCAAAACTGACACGAAACTCATCCAGTAAGAAGGCCATGGTGACAGAAACTATGAGTGTTTATCAAACATCCATGTGTCCCTCTGTGTTTGGAGCCTCCCATGTGGCTCAACAGAGACTGGCTAGTTCCAGGCAGTGAAATATGCATCACTCTGATGTACGTCATTGTCCATTTAGGCAGGTGAAGGCTGATGTGCCTCCTTTATCTTTCTCCTGGAGGCCTTTTTGTCCAGCAGGGGGAAAGGCCACCTTACCCACATCAAACTTTGGGGAAGTATAAAATAAACCCTTATTGTGTCAATTTACTAAGCATTTGGGATTATTTGTTACTACAGCATAGCCTAGCACAGCCTAACTCATGAAGCCAATAGGATCCCAGAATATACTAGAAGCCTTTAAGGCTTCTGTACTGGGAGGATCGTCACTTACCAAACTGGCTTTCCAATAAAATGAGTGAGAAACCCAGCCATTGCTGTCAGATACAATGTAATATGGATGTAATATGGCCATTTTCCTCACCGGTGATGTCAAGTAAATAAAAAGTGTTAGGATTTCCATCTTGCAGCTTGCTGTTAGGTAGGAAGATTTACCTGCTGGTCCGGGGGGGCCTCTTGGACCTTGTGTTCCAATGCCTGGATTTCCTTTTTCTCCCTTGACACCAGTTAGACCTGTTTTTTTTAAAAAAAAAAAAAAAAGGAAAGAAAGAAAAAGTCTTTAAAATAAAATCTAGGCAAAATCTTTCAAAAAGACCTCTCTTATAAGGATAATGATGTGGTTGGTTTGGGGTTATGGTTCCCAGGGGACTTTTAAATTAAATTCTGACACTGTGAATTATGTACAACCACATATAGAAGGCTGGTTCTGTAGCTGAGCATGCTGACCGTATTTGCAATACTGTAAGTCTATCCACCTTCCTACTGAAGGGGTTCAGCCTGCCAGGATCTGGCCCGTGTTTTTACACACACCAGGCCATTCGACATATGCAGTTGGCACTCCACGGTCACACAACAGAAATCACAAGTGAACATGTCTAACATTTTCCTTTCGGTCCACCCTGTAATGTATCTGCAAAAGGCATGAATTATAATTAGGCAGCAAAGTTCTGAAGAGCGTGAGTTTCCATTAAAAACTTGGAAGCTTCAGGAAAGCCTGTGTTTGATTTGGCTGATTCAGCCCCATAAAAATCTAAACCTATTCATGTTTCTTTTCCACTGAGCAGATTCCTTATTCCAAATAATTTACGGTGCTATTAACAAACTATACGTTTTCAGAAAAAAAAAAACCCTAAGAAACATATACTCTGCCACCTCATCATCCAAACAACTCCTATCACAAAATTGCCGGACAGGTGAGAACATGCTATACTGAGGCCCACCCGTCCCAGAGAGAGTTCCATCAGCTGGGGGTGGGGGGGCGGGTTACCCCAGCTCAGAACACAGAAGGTCTCTGGTGCCTGTTTTTCATGTACAACAATGCTTTGAAGTAGCAGAACGCAGCATTGCATCTGTATGTGATTTACACTTACAAAGAAATTATGTGTGAATTGGCGAAGCCTGGAAGGAAACATAAATAAATGACAATAACCAATTTGAGAGGTGGCAGGCATGCCAGTGATTTAAAATGTTTAAAGTGACAAATAACTTTTCCCTTTTCCTAAAGGCGGTGCGTATTCACAACAGACAAATGAAGAGACACAACGAGCCAGGACTCTGGCCCTTGCAAAGAATAACTTTTCACGTCTTGTTTATAACTTCCAGAAAGAAAGGCGTTCATGTAGTATTTGCTCTGGGAATAGTTGGGGGAAAAAAATAAAAAAGATTGGTGAGCCACTGGCACTTTTTTCTACACGGCACACGTCACCACTGTCCCTTGATATGAACGCTGGTAGCTGTTGTGTTCCTTGGGACCTCCTTTTGGGGCCAAGGTATATCTGGCACCTTTGAAAAAGTCCTCCTTCTTTGTTAGTGGTCCTCAGGGCTGCCCCACCCCTGCTATGCTTCCCCAACACCCATGCCTATTGCATTGGTCTCAGGAGGATTTTCTGAGCTCACAAGAGACCAAGACTTTAGAGGGAGAGCAGGACACTGACCACTGAGCCTCTGATGACCTCCTGTTTTGGCTCTGACTCTTGTCTTAGGAACCCATAAGGAAGACAGTAATTTCTCAGGAGTAAAAATACAATTTCATCTGAGTTTAAAAAGCACACAACATACTCAGACTAATCAACACGTAATACTCAATTGCTTATCAAGTTGTCCAGACAGAAAACACCTTGGGTACATCTACTGGATATTACCCAATTAGCTACCAGTTTAGCTATTAGTTTAGTAGCTAATTGGAATAAGTACTTTTCAGCTGGTAGGTGTTCTCTCAGTTGCAAATGTACTCCACCAGGCGTCTGGGAATTTAGCAGAAACTTCTTCTGTTTGAATGAGAGTCACTTTCCCCACAGGGAACCACTAATTTTTAAAGAATTAGAACACAATAAAATACACAGATGACTAATGGCAGGCTGCTCATGATTAAGTGTGTGATGACTCAGAGGCCTCCCATGACCTTACGGTACTCAAGGATCAACATTACCAACACGGCTTCTCAGTGATTCTCCGAAGTGGGAGATGCAGTTGATGAGGCTGAACAGGACAGGCAGGAAAGTACTCTTAGGAAAAACTCTCTGTTGGGGCGCCTGGGTGGCTCAGTCCATTAAGCGTCTGCCTTCGGCTCAGGTCATGATCCCAGGGTCCTGGGATCGAGCCCCGCGTCGGGCTCCTTGCTCAGCGGGAAGCCTGCTTCTCCCTCTCCCTCTGCCTTCCACCCCCGCCCCCCGCTTGTGATCAATCTCTCTGTGTCAAATAAATAAATACAATCTTTAAAAAAAAAAAAGGAGAAACTCTCTGTTAAGAGTTTCTTGACTTACCCATTGCCTCTTCATTAAGAAAGCAAAAGGTGGGGAAGACTGGGGAGTAGGGATTCTGGTTGTTTTAATTTTCTAGTTATGTAGAGAAAAACAAGTGGCATTTGATATTACCTCTACTACAAATCAAGGTAAGAGAGGCAGAGTCTCACAAAAATATTCCAGCCCCTTAAAATGTCTTGAAAAAATTCTAAGGATATAATTACATTAACAGAATTTTAGATTTTATTATCCTTGAAATGAAGATTTATTCCAAGTACACACAGGCTAATAGATTAATATCTGTCCACGTGTTCACTTATGGTTCTGAGACTGCAGAAACATTCATGTCCATGACAACTGAGTTTGGTTGTAAATCTTCTTCTTGGAATGAAAAAATCATGTTACAATCAATAATTAAGGGCTTAAGATGAGGACTGAACTTAAAAGGTAAGCTTAGAGACCTCAGATCTCTAAAAATAGATCTGCATATACTTTTTTTTTTTAAGATTTTATTTTTTGACAGAGAGCGAGACAGCGAGAGAGGGAACACAAGGAGGGGGAGTGGGAGAGGGAGAAGCAGGCTTCCGTGGAGCAGGGAGCCCGATGCGGGGCTCGATCCCAGGACCCTGGGATCATGACCTGAGCCGAAGGCAGATGCTTAACCGACTGAGCCACCCAGGCGCCCATAGATCTGCATATACTTTTGATAAGCCTGTAAGCCATGATTAAAAGGAAAGAAGTGAAATGTCCTGAAATGTCCGCCCATTTATGAGATGTCAGCGGGCAGTGGAATCTGGGCATAGTCCTTCTTTACAGACAAAACGCTGTCATCACCCATACTAAGGGCTTCTCTCATCAATCTCTTTGTAAGGGCTGAAGGTGGGAGCCATTTGTTGTTGAGATGGAGTCCCCGGAGCCAAGTGCCTGCATTCCCACCACAAAGGCACTGGGACTCCTGAGTGCACAGGATGCCCCTCCTTCTGGAACACCCGTTTCACATTGGCTGTCTCCATAAATACTTCTCATTCTTCAAGACCCAGCTCAAGGCTTCTCTGCAACCATAATGAGCAGAAGCCTACTGGATTCAAGAGGACAGGGATTATCGATCTGATTCATGGCTGTATCCCTGACATGGCTAGGGTGTCTTCCACATAGTATGAAACTTACAGATACTTATTTACTTACTGAATGAATGAATGAATAAATGAATGAATGAATTCTCTGATTCCATATTGCCCTTGCCTCCTCTGGCACCTGCCTCACTGCATTGCTTGTCCTCATGCTCACTTCGCCTAAGACTACGAGCCTGCTGACGGCGGGGATCATGTCTTCTTTATTGTTAGTGTCGGATCCAAGCCAAACCTCACACATAGTAGGTGGCCCAGTAAGTTCTAGAAGCCTAACTGAATGACTACATGTCTACACCAACATGCAGCTGACTCTTAAAAGCAAGCCTGACCTTTGAAGGATCAACAAACAAAATTCCTTACCCTGGAGCTTTGCTTTTTACTTTCACGTGCCTGGCTTGTGTTCCCACACAAGTGGTGGGAAAAGCAGTGGGAACACTGCTTTTTCTAACAAGTTCCTCATGCGGCAGCGGCAGCTGCTACTGTTTCTTAGAGATGAATATAATTGATCACAATTAAGTTTAAGTTTCCGCCATTTCTAAAAACTGAGCATAGCTGATATAAATGAAGATCTAGCTTTCCAAAAATACAATTTTAAATAAGATTAAAATATCTTTAGTTTTTTTTGTTACCAAAAATATTTAGGATAATCAGACAGATTATTATTATCTATCCATTCATCTGTTCTTTCTTTTAAAAATATTTTAATAAATTTATTTTTTTGCAAGGGATTTTAGGTTCACAGCAATATTGAATGGTAGGTACAGAGATTTCCCATATACCCTCTGCCCCTACACATGCATCATCAACATCCCCCATCAGAGAGACACCTTTGTCATACTCATTCTTTTTTAAGTGTCTCATTAGAAACCATTTCAGGGCTACTTGATTCTCCCTTACCACAAACCTAACACTGAACCTCCAATATTTTCTTTTACTGGTCTACAAAGGCAGAGACCTGTCCATTTATATTCCCAGTTCTAGGCACATACTAAGGCACTCAAGAAATACGTGTCAAACAGATGAATGAATGAATGAAATACTAAGTTCAACTGCAGACTTTGACAAACCAAGAATGTGGCCAGTTTATCAGCTAAGCCTATAAATGAACTCAGTAGATTCTGAACGCTAGATGCTTGATATGTGTGAGCTCATTTAGGTTTCACAAGAACCAAGAGGGTGGGCACTACTATTAACCCCCAAGGGGGCTGCCCTTAGCTAGGAAGTAATAGAGCCAAGATTTCAACCCCGTCAGGATGGTGACAAAGCCCAGACGCTGAACCACTGTCCTCCCTGCCTTTTCATCCCAAGTGAGCAGGCTGCACTTCTTGTCTTATTCTTTGCAGTCGAGGCTTCCCGAGCTACCTGCCGAGTCAGTCTGCACATTTGCTCTGGCCCCACGCTCAGCAATCAGCCCTGTGGTTATCACATTTCCTCAGCCTACTTCCCTCAGTTGGCATTCTTTCCCGCTGCTCTGAGCAAGATTCAGGGTTGATGTTTAGTGGCTCTCTCCGGCTCCCAGTAACTACATGTCTAGGATCTGGCACTTGGTTGTCCATTTCCTATTTTCTTTGGCCTGTTGGTCTCTGAATAGAGAAATTTTACTCATTTCTCTGCCCTCTGACCACACCAAGCACTCCATACT